CCCTATACCTTTTTGGCTTGGTTCTACCGGAACTGAGACGCGTTGTTTGGTCCACTCCGCGGATTTGATAGTCCCCCTGACGACGGAGTAGAAGGGTGGGACCCCATGGAGATCCTCCCACCAGACGGAGTTGTTACTAGTTCGGACATCGGTCCTGAAGATTCGGACCCCGACCCGGAACTTGTTAAATCCGAACGCGAGCCGTCCGACGACAAGGCTGATCCGGGTTTCCCAGAGTACTTTGAGTTCGATTCGAAGACGCCGCTTGGGCATCATGGGGGAGACTGATAGGTTTAGTATTCCGATTTTTGAGAAGCCCTCTTTTGGTAGAGAAGTTAGGCTAACCCAACCACCCGACCCTTTTCAATGTGTGTGGGTTGTAGTGGAGGCCTCTAGTAAAGCTTGTATTTGTGTAGTTGTAAGTAACGCTATGTTTATAAAGTGGTTTGTTGTTGTGTTTCGATTGTCTCTTTATTAACCCGTTTGATTGTATGTTGTATGGAGAGTTCGAGTTGCTTCCGCGTGTGTTACTCTTTAGTTCGTTTGTTTGCGTCAGCGACAAGTCCTGGGATGTCGCATTCTTATCGACCGAGACGGGATGTTGCGAGCTCGTGGGGATCAGGGTGTGACATTGCAAATGGATTTCTTTCTTCTTCATTTTCCTCATATCCTAAACATGATCTGTTGTAATGAGGAATTTGAATGGAAAGAATGTGCTCGAGTGTTTTTTAATTTAGAGAGAATCTTGTGTAGACTTTTGACAAGTTCTCAAGAGAAATGCATTCATTTTGAGAGAGTTCGTCTTTACCTTTGACGGTGTCAAGTTCCTTTTATAGAATTATGAGTTCCTCTTTTTGCTTAGAATCTTGGTCAATGAGTTTTTTTAATTTCTCTTCTTAACTCAGAGATTTTTCTTGTAGCCTTTTTTTGCTCCTCGAAGATCTCTTTCAAGAAGTTTAGGGGTGTTTACCTTAATTTCTTCATCCGCTTTGGATCAACCATGAGGCATATGTTTACTTTCTCAGCATCATCATCGCTCATTCTATTCCATAGCACTCCAGGTTTCGGCTTTCAATGCATGTTTCTTTTTTCTTGATTTGCCCTTTAACTTCTTTAGAAGTGGACACTGAGGTTTGATATGACCGGGCTTTTTGCATTCATAGCAAACAACTTTCTTTCCTTTGTTTTCATTTTTTGCTTTGGAGAATTTCCTCTCTTTTGAAAACTTCATTTGTCTTTTTTCCTTTGAAGCTTCTCCCTTTCTTCGTCAAGCTTTTGAATCTTCTCGTCAAGGGTGCCATTTCTTCATCATCTTCATCCTTGGATGATATTGATCACTTGCATAATTATAATCAGATTTGAAAGAGATAATTTATTACCTTTACTACCGGTTTCTTCATTCGAGTTTTCTGCTTCATAGGACATCAAGGTTCCTATCAGCTCATCCATGAATTTGGGTTGAATTTGATGAGACTAGCAAATATTACTTAGAGGGGGGGTGAATAGGTGATTTGACTACTATTTGATCAATTTTCATGCGGAAGTAATTGATCACATGTAAAGTCTGAACAATGTTCAGATTTTGATCAATCTTTCAATGGCAAACAAGTAAATGTGCAATTAAATAAATAAAAGGAGTTTTAGGTAAGAAAAAAATTGCACACAGATGTATAGTGGTTTGACTTAGATCAAGTCTACATCCACTCTCCCATGCTGACAGCCTATTGGCTGGATTCCATTAGATGATCAATCAAGAGATTACAACTATGAGTGATAATCCTTAGTGTATGATAAGTCTCACTATCTCACTCAATCACTCTTTTCAGTCTCTTTCAAAGATTGCACTTTAAAGCTCACGAAAGATAAGTACATAGATTGAAGATCGCTCAGACTTTGGAATTCTAGATTTTGAATCTCGTTTCTTACTTCTGCTCCTTGGCACGTTGGTCTCCTTTTATACTCCTCTACTTCCAAATTAGCCATTGGACAGTCTCCAGAGGATCGTCTTCCAATCTACCTATTGGACAGAACTGTATCAAGAAGATTGCATAGTCATTGAGGGACAAAATATGAATTTCCGCTGAATCTGGTCGCCTATAAACCAAAGTCTTGGTTTCCATAAGTAGAGCTTCTTTGCTTGGAAAGTGACTTGTCTCGAGATTAATTGCCAATCAATCAAGATGTTTTGCATATTAAACCATTGCAAAACAATATTCAAGATTGAGTTAATCAATTTATTTTAAGTGTGAAATCCAATCCAAATTACTAGCCGTTATGTACGTTCTGAATACGTGTCACATTCTGGACTTTACGTTATGGACTTACGTTCTGAACTTGTGTCACGTTCTAGACTTTACATTGCGGACTTACGTTCTGAACTTGTGTCTGTAGTTCATAATCTCTGGTGTAAAGTCTGAACCTCTTTGGATATAAAGTCTGAACCTTTTCATCTGCAATGTAAAGTCTGGACCTTTTCGTCTGGGGTATAATATTTGAATCTCTTATCTTGAAGTAATTTCACAGTCTGAACAAGATTGTCATATGTTTCTCTTCCAAGAATAACTTCTTAAATCAAAATACTTCAAAGCATTTATCAAACTTACAAGACACACATGGATAGCTTTGTCAACTTCAAAATTTATTAGAAGGTTTTCCCAATAGAATTCTCATCGTTTCATGGATTGATGTCTTCACATGACTCCACTCCTTTGGAAGTGCCCTGAGGAGCTTGTTTATTTTTTCAACAACAGTGAAGGTTTTTCCTTGGTTAGCAAGACCATTCACGATCTTTATGAATTTCATAAACATTTGTGTGACGGTCTCATCAAACTTCATCTTGAACATCTCATAATTTCCTAGAAGGATGTTCATGTTGGTTTCTCATACTCGATCTATTCCTTCAAATGTGACTAGGAGTCTGTCCAAGATTTCTTTGGCTATGACACAAGAAGAAATTCTGTTAAACTCAGATGGAGAAAGAGCACAATATAGTAAGTGCTTGGCTTTAGCATTTTGAGCTTGCCTTCTCTATAACTCCTCTAATTGAGTTATTGTGGCAACGGCAATTGCGGCTGGTTACGCATTCTTACCTTCCTGTTAGGCAGGAGCTCTTGCTGGTACAGTGAGTCCGTTGACAATGACTTGCCACGTGAGTGGGTCAGTCACTTCAATGTACGCTTGCATACATTGTTTTCAGTATCCATAGTTGGTTCCATCAAAGTACGTTGGCTTGCTAGAAGCATGAGAATCAAGAGCAATAAAGCTGCCAAGGTTAGCCATTAGCAATGATCTTTATCCTTAGAAGTAAAGACACTTCAAACAACAAGTAACAAAGCTTTGATACCAATTGTTGGAGCTAACAATACAACCTAGAAGGCAAGGTTGAATGAGGATAATGAAAACTTTTATGAAATATATAAGGGTAATAAATAATCCAGATGATATAAGATTATAAACGGCGTATGTGATGATAGTGAACAGATATTGCGGTTGTTAAGCAAGAGAAGTAAATATTACAACTATTTATAGTGGTTTGATTTTATCCAAAGCCTACGTCCACTCTCTAGATAACAGCCTTAACACAGGCTTGATTTCACTAGTTATCTACTGTACTAGTTATAACTGGCAAGTCTTGTTCCTTTCTAGATTATATACCGCACTATTAGGACACAAGGACTCCTTTGACACTTGTAAACTTGACCATTTGCAATTATAATGTAGAGCAAAAACCTGTAGAGAGAAAATGTCAGATGAAAAACGGTGACTATTTTGAATAAGGTGTAACTATAGTATTCTTAATATTTCTCTCATCCAACATCTTACAAGCTTCCTTCGCTGATATTCTTTTATAGAAGTCTTCAATCCGCTTGTTGGAGACCTTGAAGGAGATCAAGCTAGCCGTTTAAGAGTATGTGGAGACCTTGCTATAATTGGGATTGCCCATACAATCATTTCCTCTGACAATAATAGATTTCCTAACAGAAGGTCGTGCCTTTATTTTTTTTGTGATAGCATCGTCCCATCACTTGTTTGCTTTTTGAAGTTCAATCCGCGTAAACTTAACAAACTTCTTACACAAATGATGTTAAATATATAACATCTTAAGTCATGTATCATGCCATTGATTTTGAATAAATGAGAGTAGTGTCTATAAGCATTTTAAACATATTAATCAAGAAATTACTCAACCTTTCATATGAAACTTTTAAGGGCTATCTCATATTATTCAAAGCATTTTGATATATCTCTAACAACTTGTGTTATGAATGCATTAAGAAGAATTTTCAGGCCTTTTGATAACACAGTCTACAAGCTTGATAGGAGCAAATGTTGTTGTTTGCGAAATTTGCTGTTGTCTGCAAAATTTTCTGATATCAATGAAATTTGATGTTATCAGCGATATTTGCTGCTGCTGATTCTATTCTTGAAGAATTGTCAAACTTCGCATGGACGGATTTACTAACTGCATTTTTTTTTGTAGAAAACACGGTAATCTATGCAAGATGGTGAGTATACAAAGAACATACATTTCTCATCCTTGTCAAGTTTGGTTGATGGGGCCCCATTGGTGTATCAATTTTCTTGCTTCCATCCCAAACTTATTTACTAATGCAATTGCATATTTTTCTTGGAATATAAACGTTCCTTCTTTCATCTGATTGACTTGTAGTTCAAAAAAGAAGTTGAACTCTCCTATCGTGCTTGTTTCAAATTTGCTCTTCATGATACTTGCAAAGAACAGCTCATTAGTAGATCCAAAGATGATATCATTAACATATTTTTGAATTAACAAAACAGCATCATCATTTTTCTTTATGAACAGCATTGTGTCAACTTTACGTTTATTTAACCCATTTTTAGCAAGAAAAGTACTTAACCTTTCTTTATGAATAGCATTGAGAGTGTGGATGCTTGTTTGAGTTCGTAAAGTGCTTTCTCAAGCTGATACACGTCGTTGATCCTGCTGGATCTTCAATTCCTAGTGGTTGCTCTACAAACACTTACTCTTTGATGTAACCATAAAGAAATGCATTTTTCACATCCATTTGATATAGCTTGAAATCATAAGAGCAAGCACAAGCTAGTAATCTAATTGCTTCTAGCCTAGTAACAGGAGTATAAGTTTCATCATAATCATTACCTTACTCCCAGGTATAACCTTTTGTAACTAACCCTACCTTGTTTCATACCACATTAGTAGAAACTGAATATTGATATCACACATGTGTGCTACAAATGAACAAATAGTGATGATAATAAGTAGATAATGCTGATAGTAAAAAGAAAGAATATATTGCAAGAAAATATATAGCGATTCGGCTTTATTTCCAGGCCTACGTTCACCCTCAACACTAATAGCCACAACAAGACTAGAATCTATTATTAATCTTCAAGACAAGTTACAATCAGCACGTACTGATCCTATAAAAAGATAGATCACATCATCAGGATACAAGTACTGCTATCACTCGCGTACACTCGCTCTTATCACGATTAGAAAGCAGCAAGAACACTGCACAGGAAATTTTTAGTGATACACAACAACTGTCAACAAGAACAAAGCAAAGAAGAAGCACTAGACTAATTTTATCCATTTTTTCCCAACCCAACTACTTCTCTTGGATTGAATATATAGCCATCCAACCTTAAATGACCGTCTCCAACGCAAATTTCTCAAGTAACCATTGGCTTTACCATTTCCAGTAACATAACGTCTCTCTAAATTTCGTAATTGTCAGAACGTCTCCATGACAGTGGTAATTTCCCAAAATAGTTTGTTTGTTCTTGTCAGAGTTTGCCTCCTCATAATTAGTAATACTACTATGATGCAACCCTAGTGCTCCCTATACCAAGCCTTGTCAATAGCTATTTTCGTTGTGATCAGTGTTCCAATCAGATGAGTAAGTGACCAACCCCTTCTAGGACTTGATATGAGCATTATCAATTACCCATAATTAGGATGTGCTCATTATCATCAGTTTGGTGGTGCTTCCACGATCAAACCGTAGAATGACTTGCAATTAATTATCCAATGATCCTTTTGAGTATGTTAGCTTCCAAGGACTTCAAGTTGATGAAGGACTGACCATGGTACTTCCAAGTCTTCAAGAAATCCTCATCATGTTAGACTTGTTCTCCTTTTGTGGATATTTTCATTAGTCTTCGCTGAACTCGCACATATCATCGATATCATTACATTCTTCCACGTCATCTGATAGAGAGAGCTGCTCTTGCCAGCAATTCGCTACTCTTGATAATGATATGATCTTTTATCTTCCTTCCTTCCATGCTTTACTGAACATCCTTGTTCTAGGCTTATTCACCTTCATTAGGTCCATCTAACTGTTCACCAGATCAAGGTCCTTCCAACTATTCACTTAATCTCAAAGTCCTTCTAGCTTGGAGAAACCTTGGCGCCCATTACCTTGTTCACCCTAGATATCAACAAAGCACTCTTGACAATAGTTGAATACTCCTCATATCAACTCATTTGGTTAGAACACCATATGCATATTGCTTCTGCATATATTACATGGTACCACTCAATCAATACACACATTAGTAGCTTTTCATTTATGTCATCTTCGAAACAACTTAGGGGATTTTCCCAACAGATCCATGGTAGTAAAGTGAATGGGATGAAATCCAATTAGTACATTGTTGGATTTACAAAATTTATAGATAAAGATGAGATTTTGGTCATTGTAGGGACACAAAAAACATTGGATAGTGTAAAAGAAGATGAAAGGGTGTGGAGGTGTATGGATCCCACGTGTGGTTTCCAAACCTTTACCATTATCAATGATGACTTCGAATGAGAGGTTGCCTAGGGCTGATGTGACATAATGAGAGACCCAATTCTTGTCGAAGAGTGATGAAGGCTGTATAGTGAACTTCATAATCTCTACCTTGCTAGTCATAAAGTTGATAGACAAGATAAGTGCATGGATAGCGATTGTGGGTGCGTTTTTTATGCCACCATGATAATAGGCCAATTGATTCGAGTGAGGAATTTGCCATTATGGTCATTGGTTGCGAGGAGGCTGATTGGTGGAGTGTGGCCACTTATTAAAGGGGTGCTGCGAACGCAAATGGACACTGATATCTAGCGGAACTCAGATTCGAGACCATCGAGGACATGCAAGGTAGGATCCTCAATTGATGTCGAGCTTTGATAAGGATTCATTGGCAATAGATTTAAGGCCGGATATATTCATATATAGTTTTTGAGCCACGAGTGGACAATTGCAGCCTTTCCATGAGAGTCATCACCCTAGCACGGGAACGATTGGCACACAGATTCTTGAGAATGCATCAGGCTTCCTGTGAGGTTTTAACAGTGGAGACAAGTGGATTGAACTGAAAATAGCACAACGGAGAAGCTAGTCTTGACGATTCTAAAGAACATATGTCAGGTTTTGGTCGATAACTTTCTCGTCAGTATCAATGCCAACTAGGGCACACCATGAAGTCTAGAGAGCTTGATGGGGAGTCGGGCAGCTACATTTATGGCTATTAGGGTTGGGCTTTTAGCATCAATGGAAGGAGAAGATGAGACACTTACCTGAGTGGCATTTTCGTCCATGATGGGATCGTTACTTGCTTAATTATTTTGGGAGCTCTGATACATTGTAATGAAGATGAATTGTAAAGTCGAAAAGATGAGTCTCATTTAGTTGTTGTACAATATTTACGAGTGTCTGTTTACAAAATAAATAAAAAAGTAATAAAAAGCAAACAGCCTACAAATAGGCAATTGAGTTTAGCGGACTGTTAGCTCAATCTTAGGGATCACAATTTGAGTTTTGAATTGGGAATCCCATCTCTATATCAAATTCAATATGGTGGGAATGTATGCTCTCCCAAGGCATGGTCTCGGCGGGTTATTCTCGTTTCTTTGCCACGTAGAGTCCTCTAATAGAGTACTTAAAAAACTCCTTTATCATTTGCTGCCCACTCTAAAGTCCATCGAGAATTCTCAAGGGTTTGAGAGTAGATGGTCGGTGTCACATCTCGTGTTTTAGTCTCTAAATTTACAAGAGACGTGCTACGGACCTAAATGAGTGTCTAGGACAAGTGAAATATTCTTTTCTTGATGACTATTGATTATAATTATGCAAAAATTATCTTTAGAAAATGTTAATTTTCCACTAAAATTCCATTAGTTTTGGCTTCATCCATATATAGATAATATTGATTTAAGATTGAAGAAATTTATTCAAACAAGATAGATTGTTATATGCATTAATAGATTGATTTAAGATTGTTATATAAAGTAAATGAAAAAAATTCACTTTCTTACATGAAGGTTACTAAGAAGAAAAGAAACTATAATAGAATTGTCAATACATATCAAAACGTGTAATGGTATTTTAGTCAGACATGACGAATGCAATTTCAGTTCCTCATTTGATGTGATTCTTTCAACTAAAATAAAATATTTTGTCGTTACTTGTTAATCAATTGCACATATCTTTGATATAAAAAAATAATTGTTCTAGCTATTACTATTGTAATCCCTTCGGAACCATAAAGAAGAGCATACACTGCAAGGAAAAGAATAAAGAAAACCTTTACATATATCATATATTTAGATAGAAAGTCCAAAGATTTCAATTATACGATTTATGGATGAAAGCATCTTTCGTTAGATTCGAGAGATTTTCTTCTGATCTTATTAATTTACCTCTTTGCTCAATGAATAAAACATATAACTACAATTAATCTTAAGCAAATCGACATAGATTTTCATGGATTTTTACAAAATTTTGAACTTGAAACTAAAGATAACATTACATTTACATAGTACATATTACTACGAGGGGGAAGGGGGGGAGGGGCACGGTTTGCTTATGATTTATTCTAATCTTATATATCTGCATATTATATAAACATTTTTGTTCGGAGGAGGTAGATGGCCCTTGCTTGCCCCCCTTACTCCATCACTGGGTAAAAAATGAACTCTTGTTGGGCTACGACACATGCCTATCGACTTGGGATGATGTATTCAAGATTGTCCCTTTGCGTATGTTATCATCATCTTATATTCAATAAATTCTACCGCACAAATTGCTTAAATTTCTATATTGAGATTTCATTAACCCAATAACTGATCCTTAATTCATTGTTGCATCACTTCTCTTGTGAATTCTACTAACATGGTACCAAAATCAATATCCATTTCCTTCTAAATCATATAATATTAGATTTTGCGTTGGGTTTTGCGAATTTTATTCCTCATTTTCCTCCATCACGTGCCTTTCTGAGAGAGACAGAGAGAGATATGGATAAGGATGGTTTTCATTGTCGCCTCCACATCGCGTCATGCCATCGTTGACTTGACGCACGTTCCAAGCATCATCAGTGGCAGTAGAAGCGGAATAGGATTCCTAGTCCCGAGGATTCGTAACTTTCTTTCAATCCCAATGAAGAGAGATTACGACTCCATCGTCGCGTCATGCCTACGTTCGTTTGTACTTCAACATTCATAATTGAACTGACGTTATGGATTGCTCCCACTGGGGACGGGGCATGGAGACGCATCCCTAGTTCGTTCTAGATTCCACGAGGACAAATGTGAGAGCTAATGTTTAGGTCAGGACACCGAACCGAAGAAATAAATTGAGAAATTTTTTTGGCAAAATAAAGTTTAGAAATTTAGGATGCGCATGATAATTATTATATTTATCTATTTTTATATTTTAGAAATATGTTTGGAACATAAATCCATTTGATCACGCAATTTCATTTTTATATTTCTTGGATAAACTTTTAGTTCATAATAAAAATAAAAACTCTCTCACATGCGTTCTCCTTCACAGAGACTCGGCTGAACTTCTCCATCTCCTCTTCGCTCAAGTTTCGTCGCCGTAGGGAGCCTTGCCACCACTGTCGAATGTCTGTCATCATAACCGTAGCTCCACCTCTCATCGCAACCGTAGCTCCGTAGCAACAAGGTGAGTCTCTCTCCCTTTTTGTTGTCGTGACCTAGCTCCACCGCCCTCTTTGTCGTCCAATTCGCGTTTGATTCGTGATCAATTTCTGCAATTTCTGTTTGTGGAGTCGAACTTCTTTTATGCACTTGAGAATCACGATTTGTCACG